ATTGGTAGTATGAGTATGAAAAATGAAATTGAAATATATAAGGTTCATCCTTCGTATAATAAATATGCCGCGTCCAATCTTGGCAAGGTTATTAATATCAGAAAAATGAAAATAGTTGGGAGTCTAAATCCTGGTGGTTTTAATTATTGTTGTGTTAGCGGGCTGGGATTCAAACACAAAACCATGCGGGCTCATAGATTTATATGGGAATTTTTCAACGGTTTAATTCCGAGTGATAAAGTCATTGATCATATTAATGACGTGAAAACTGATAATAGATAGTGTAATTTACAATTATTATCGCAAAATGAGAAAAATAAGAAAGCAGCAAAAAATCGAGATTATTCTTTTGTCAAATATAATCATTTCAATAAGAAAAAAGTCAAACCAATAAGTTGTTCCGATGGGACGATTATGATCTTCAAAAGTTTATGCAATGCTGAAAAACACTTGAAAATTAATAAAGGATCAGTTAAAATGATTTGCGATAAAAAATATGGCTAGAAATATGCCTTTTCAAAGTTAGACGGTTCCAAGTATTCATTTGAATATATGGCTTCATATAAAATATATAAAAATAATAGCCAGAAACAATATATTTTTGGCTAAATAAATAGCAAAAGCAGATGCAGTAAAAACAACACACCTGATAGACAATCTATCTGTGTATGTAGGTTAGATAATTTTCACCACAACCGAGTAATGTCGCTAATATACGTTACTCGATTGACGTTTATATTTTCACCACATCCTTCATTGGTATCCAACTGTTGAAATCATCACTATAATCTTTCCATTTTACCAAAGCTTGCTTCTTCTTATGATTTCTCCTGATCTTTTTTTCAATTCTGAATATATCCTGTTTGGCTTTTAACAGCTCAGGGTCATAAAAACTGCCTTTTATTTCCTCACTGTTGAGATCTTTTAACTTATATGTTACTGGATTCGTATATTGGATCTTATTAATTGTTAATACTTCCTCAGTCCAATAAGGGGTATATCCTTTGTCAAACACCTTTCTTTTGTACTTACTTATTCTAACCTTATCACCTACTTTGAACTTCGGTTTTGATGATGGTTCTGTATTACCATTCAGATTGAAATATACAAATCCTGCATTCTTCTTTTTACTAGCCTCAACAGATGTCATTTTAATTGAATTGTGTTTGGTAATATTGTACTGTTCTAATATTTTGGGTAAAATGTCTAAATACTGCGTATTACCTTGAATAGTAAACTGCTTGCACATTTTGGTTTTTATTGTTTTGTTCCATCTTTCACAAACAGATGACTTTTCTTCATCCTCGGTGGAATACAATGTTATTTTATTCTTGTCTAATAAGTCTTTCAAATGTTTGCTGTAATACTCTTTACCCTTATCAGTCCATAGATACTCAGGTTTTCTGCCCTCCTTGAGAATAGATTTGAATGCTTCAGTTATAGTTTCACCTTTTTTATCCTTTAGCGGAACAATCCAACCATATTTACTGAACACATCCAATACCATTAGTAGACATCTGTAGCCCTTGTTCCACTTGCTAAACTGTTGCATTTCAACTAAATCAGAACACCATATTTCATCAATATGATAGACTATTATACGCCGTCGAGTAAAGTTACGCTTTATTTGTTTGCATAATTCACTAGCTAATTTTTCTTGCCAATTAGTCGACGGCGTTTTCCGTTTTTTAATACCCCAAGACCTAGTTTCTGTTTTTTGCAATCAAGAATCGTGCTGTTGATCCCCACTTTGGTATTTCACCGTATGGAATTTCATCCAGTGATGCAACCATTTTTCCGTCACAATCTCCTTTGTTTCGTCCCATATCATAACAAATATCGTGATAAGCAGCAATTTCATCCACTTTGTTGTAAGGTTGTACATGCCATTTGAGAACTTCACCGGTGTTTGGGTTGTATTATAATTGCTTATCCAATGGATTATATGGTCCCATATGTTTGTACTTTCCAAGGGT